AAGAGTTAGATAAGGAATATATAGCTAACCTAATATCTATTAGCGACTTATTTAGTGTAGTCTAATCTTTTTATAGCCTAATCACTTCTTAACGACTACCTATTAGAAAGTAATAAGGAATATAATCTCTCGTAAGAGAGAAAGGAGACTACTAAATATAGTTATATCGCCTAAAGAGTAGCTATAAATAAGACTTTAGCCCTTCCTACAGACACTATAAATAAATAAAAGTTAGTAGCACTTAGGTTTATTAGAAAGCTATCCCTTCCGGAACTAGATTTTTGACCTTTACTAAGAATATAATTTATCTATCTTATACGAAGAGAGTATTTAAATTATTCGATATATATAATACTAGTAAGGACTACGCGGCACTAATAGTGCGAATTAATTTTATTTACTAATACACTAAGGACTAAGATACTATAGTAAAGGAGAACTAGATATAGTTTCTATTAGATACCGATAAGTTATAGTCAGATTTCTATCGCTTTAAGTATTAGGCTAATCCTCCTATTATCGCCAATTATCGTAAGATAATCTAGTTATTCTTCGAAAGCCTTTACCGTAGGGTATCTCTTACTCCCGACCCTATGACGCCTATACCTATTACGTTAAAGTTATAAATATAAGAGTAAGAGAGTATAGTTATTCTATAGTTATTTAGCTAGTTAAAGAAGGACTTCGATAGGTATTACCTAGGTAGCCTTCTTACTCTTATATATAAGGAGATAGATATATATAACTACCACTATCTACCTTATATAGGTAAGCCTCGCCTTAGGTAGTTAAGGAATATATAGTACGGTATTATTTAATAGCTTATTGTTGGGATATAAAGGGAAAGCTACCACGAAGCAGATCGTGGCCCCTTAAGTCCGTGGGATCAACCTTAGTCCGGCTGGGTCAGTCGGTGCCAGACAAAGGTAGAAGGTCAAAGGTCGTAGGATAGACTATAAGCAGATATAGCCTAAACGAAGACAGAACCACAGTCCTAAGGATCAAAGGAAGAAGGTAGAGATAACTTTTGGAAAGTGGAAAATGACTTCAGGAAAGTAGAACTGACTTGATTCTTTCTGCTAGAATAGAAGGACATATTTATAGGCTAAAATAGCCTAGAAATAATGTCTAGAATAACATACAAATACTAGGCAGCAACATAATAAAGGTGGCAAAGAAGGGAACCGAAGAAAAGCCAAAAGAATGATATCAAGGATCGATGGTTTCAGCCACCCCGAAAGCTTCCCCGCAGTATCAGGTTATGCATGCCCAAAGGTGGACCATTTTATCCTTAAGGGAAAGTGGTCCGCCTATCCTTGAGGGGACCGAGGGTCGAAGTCTGTTCACCGAGGTCCGAAGACTATGGTCGAAGTCCGCAGGCAAGATATGCCCGAAGGCACCTCCGAAGGAACGGACCATTCATGCCTGAAGGCGGACCATTTACCTCTGAAGGAAAATGGTCCCGCCTATCGTTCGGGGGAGGGCCGCGGACCAGAATCAGAAGTGGTCAAAATATCATTCTGATAGAAGGCCCCAAATTGGTCACGTGATCAATGCAATGCTGATCTTATATGTTGAATATAAGGATAGATCTTTCTATGTAGCATTGGTCTATATTCCAATAGTTTATATATATTAGAGATAACCACTTAACTCTAAATACTCTAGAGTCCGGTACGTAGGAAGAAGTGTCTGCGGCACACTAAGACCTCACGTAAGCTCTAAGAACTCTATTAGGGCTTACGAGTAATATATATAGCTATCTACAGTATATATTCCCTATAGCGCTACGATTCCGCGGGGAAGGTTTAATCTCTAAATACTTAGTTAGTTATAGCCGCTAGACAGACCTTAGTATATCGGCTAAGTTAGATATCCTCTTCGGACCGAATAAAGCTATAGTAACCGCCTATATTATCTTATAAAGGAAGAAGGCGTAGTAAATATACGCCTAATTATTTAGAGATATAATTAAGGCGGAAAAGTTAGTATTCGGGAAAGATTCCTTCTTCTACCGTAAGGTATTAGGACTATATATTAGTCCCCCTAATCCAGAAATTGTACCTCCGGAGGATAATAATAACGAGGAAGAGATATAATATCCGCGGCGATAGGGAATAGGTATTCTAGTCCTATCTTTCTTTACTTTTGTTAAAGTGGCTTAGGTATTCTAAATTAACTGCGCTTAACTATAGGACAGTTAATTTTATAGGGAGGGGTAATATATAGTGAGAGAACTGGTGACATAATAAGCCTATATATAGCCTTAGGCATAATTTAATATCTGTATTGCATAGTATATCTCTAGACACACTTAGAGAGAGACAAGTTATCTACCTAATTCATTCAGGATTCACCCAATTTCTTCTATCCATAATACAGTATTAAGATTATCCCGCACAGCCGCAACAGGGCATCAGTACGGCCTCATCCAGCATCCTCTACACCAGACAGGCAGTGTGTGTGTGTGTGTTGTCCAGTCTGCATCGCCAGACAGCCATCGAGCCGTTCCCATTTCACTATTTAGCTTACTTAGCTAGCTTTATATATAATATTAGGTATATATTAATATTTACTAGGTATATATTACCTATATTAATATTATATTAAATATTATATTTAGGGGATAATTACTTTTGGAGTTCCTTTCCAATCCCCGGTTCCTTTCCAACCCTCCATCCATTTCCAACCCTGCGTCCTTTTCCAACCCTGCGTCCACTTTCAACCCTCCGTCCATTTCCAACCCCCCGTCTATTTCCAACCCTCCGCCCATTTCCAACTCCCCCGTCCATACAGCTCCTTGAGCTATCTGCTCAGTCATGCTTACCGTAGGGGTCTTAGTGGGGGCAAATCATCCAAAAAGTTAAGAGAGGCCGTACTCCTGGATATCGCTTAATGATGAGCTCAAGCTTTTCCCCAACCAGTTGGTCGAGGTGGAAAATAGCTTGTTGTTTTTTCAAAAATACGTGGCCTGTGAGCGTTCCAGGGCCAATGGGCAGACGAGCACTTCTTCACAAACGGAGTGTCTTCCCAGTCGACCGCCAGCCACAGCCAGAGAGTGCGAAGAAGAAAAGAAGGCACATCAGATCGAGCAATGCCTCGTAAGTACAGTGGATAAAATAAGCTCAGGAGGCCTGGCCGCTTGGCTGGATGCTGATAAACGTCGCAAATTAAAAAAGCAAAGTTCACTTTCAAAGTTATTGTTGGAATACGTCGAGGGGGGCGCTCACGACCTGAAACCCATAACAGGTTCACAGAAGGAGCAGGCCCGCAACCGCAACGAGACGATGCTAAGGCCGGTATATGAGCACTTCGGTCTAGCGCACGCATTGCTCGTAATCTACAGCTTTTCCACACCCACACTTGAAAAATTCAAATTCAAAGACATCATACACATACTTAGATGCTTCATACATAAAAGAGGATACTTTTATTGCGGGGCTCTTGAAGCAGAAGCCGCCGGCATCCTTTCAGGTGAGTTTGCCTTGGATTGCCAAAGCACAATGGTTTGTCAAATGGTTAATATAGTACAGACTCGCATCCAAAGACACTACAGTTATCTTCAGATCCGGAATCTAGTTTGAATAACGAAGAATTTTGTATCCTTTTGTTGGAAAGCGGTTCCCCAATCATCCCCCAGATTGAACCTAACGAAAGTACTGCTATTGAGCGCACGAATGCACAATCTCGAACCACGACAGCGAGTTCAAGCAGTGTCTCTATTCTGAAGCCTGCACAGGAAGATGGCACCGCGAATGCGGGGAACACTCCAGAGACTCAAAATGTCGGATGCTCCGACTCTCCAGAATCGATCAAACTTACACGCGGCTTGACGAGCAGTACATGGACTACAAAGGATACACTTCACCTCGTAAGTGATTAACTCGTGCCGTCTTGATATTCATGTTGCTAATTTCACTCTATGAATAATAGATGCTCCTTTAGCCTCCTTAAAGCGGAAAAGAATCTCGCCCAACTGGAGATCAAGCGATGAAAGCGACTATGACAGTCCCCACGAGGCACCGGGCTGTTCTGCGGTTGAATCCAGCGCTATGTCTTTAGCGATGCCAGAAAATTCTCCGGATTCCTACAAGCTACTCCTCATCATAGCTGCGTTAGGTGGCAACATGGTCCCCTTAGATACGATTTACCGGAGGCTCCAAATCGAACAGCAAAGGTGGTCAATCTACGGGGAAATAGACGTTCTCACTGCTTCTGAAGCTGGCCTGGACATTTATTTTCAAACTGTCACCTCAACGCAAGTTCCTGATTTGATGGCCGAGCTGTCTTTCTGTATTACATACCAAACGCCTCAAAACGGTTTGAACGAGCGATGCTACTCCATAGTGTCTCCTTTTAGGGAAGAAACTATAGAACACATAGGCACAGGCCATGGCGAACTTGTCTTGCAATTCCTACTAAATATCTACTAGATATCTGCTAGATATTCCGGAAAAGGGATATTTACTAAGGCTAATAGGGGGTAATAAGGGAATAGAGTATAGAAGAAGGTAAGACCGAAAGTAACGTATATACTAAGATATTAAAGTGGATACCGCCAGTCTTAGATACCATACCCAGTCAGGAAGGCGGTCGGCCAATTCTAGAACTCAGGTTTTCCAATTCTCGAGCTCAGCTGCATCCTGGTTGCCTATATGTAAGACTAAGCGAAGTGTCTTCCCCGCCGAAGCCGGCTGGCCATGCTGCTAGAATTTCCGATGCTGTGTGCAAGGTACGGGACATGATGTCAACGAGCTGGCATAGGCGGAAACCAAGCACCGCGCTTGACGACATGGCCTTGTCCATGTTACAGGAACTCTTCGACCATGGGATCTTCCATGACCGCCAGCATACGAAATGGATCTTGGTCTAATGATAAACAGGCTTTCTGTATGACGTCATCCCCGTTTATTAGGAATACATAACCGCCCGCCCTTACTTCATCGACTTGGGTAGGCATTACCCGGATCACTCTATTACTATTATTTAAAATTATCGCAATGTCGCGCAATCTCTGTATTACCGCAGTGGATGGTCACACTGGCTTCGCTATTGCCGAGCTCATCTTAACAGATGATGGTTTCAAAAAACAAATCAAGTCGGTTGTTGGTCTCACACTTCATCCTGAGTCTGAATCCGCTAAGGAGCTGGCCAAGCTCGGCGCCAAGATCGTTCCGCACAAGCCTGGGCGAGTGAAGGATATGGTCGAGACCCTGCGCGAGGCTGATGCAGACACGTTGTGCCTTATTCCCCCAGCGCACGAATCCAAATTCGATATCACTACGGAGCTAATAGATGCTGCTAAGAAAGCTAATGTGCCTAACGTTTGCTTTATCAGCTCTGCGGGCTGTGACCTTGCCGAACGGGATCGTCAACCTAGACTACGAGAGTTCATTGACCTCGAAAGCCACGTCCTGTCTTGTAAGGGAGAGTCAAAGACTTCTACCGGACATTCTCCGGTTGTAATTCGGTAGGGTGGTCCTCACTCGCTATGGTATACTGTCGCTAATTTCTAGCATAGGGCTGGATTCTACGCCGAGAATCTCCTCCTATATTCCAAACAGGCACAGGAAGAAGGGGTCATTCCTCTCCCAATTGGAAAACAGCATAAATTTGCGCCAATTGCTCTCGGGGTGTGTTGTCTGTAATCTATAATCAGAATGTTATGTGAGCTCATACTATATAGGATGTTGCTCAGATTGCAGCACACGTTCTTTCCGGCAAAGGCAAGCACGGCTTCAGCGACAAACACCGCGGTCAATTGATCGTTTTGACAGGTAAGATACGCCTTATATACCGAGAATAAGCCCTTACATTAATAGGGCCAATGCTTGCGACTGGTGACGAGCTTGCTACTGCTGCAACTCAAGCACTAGGACAGGAAATGACTTTCGAAGACATATCTGAGTGAGTAAAGTGGGTAGGCCATCTGTAACATTACTGAGGCAGCATAGGGCTGAGGCCAAACGGGTCCTTCGCGCTCAATCAGCCAGTGATGAATCCGAGCTACAGTATCTAATTGAGTATTACTCTCTTGTTCGAGAGGGAAAGACCAACTACATCTCGACAACAGCTTTCCATGATATCACTGGTGCCCATCCTCAAGAACCTGAGGAGTTCTTCCAAGTTTACGCCGATGAGTTCAAACTCAAGGGTGATGCGGGTGGCAATAAGCGGCGGAAGCTGAATCAAAAGCGGTAGTAGTGCTCGGCATATCATTTCTAGAGGCTAAGTCAAGATCCAACCCCCCCCTAAAAAGGAATATTTGGAGCACTACATGAGTCTGCGGACATGCATGGCCAAGGCATCCGACGAGAAAGCACGTTGTTCATCGAATCCTGTTTACCTTGAACGAAATTATTATTCATTCTCAAAATAAGCTTGATCATAAGTCACCATGATACAAGAAGTTGAGGACCGTTTTCCAGATTGTGCTTTGCGATTTCAGTTAAGCAGATGCAGTGATCCCAATGAATCAGGTAGTGGAGACCAATCAACTCCAAAGCACATCGAGCCGCAAGATGCACAGGCTTCCATTGATGCGAATATATGCGTAGAAGAACTTCCTGGTAGTCTAGAGTACACCGCATGATCGGCCAGGGCTGATAGGCTTTGTAGGCTTTGTCTAATGTACCGAGGCGGGAATCCCCTCTTAAATCGAAGACTATCATCGAATTGCACTTTTCAACTGCTTGCCTATAATCACGTAGGCTAACAAATGATTGGGGCCCTTTGTAAGAGGTCGGGCTCTAACTACAACTTTGCATTGGCGTCATTTTCGTGACTGATTTGTCCGCTAAACAACCGGTCGTGTAGTTTAGTGGTCCCTGGTTGTGGATCACGGGAGGGTATCCTCAATGGTTGGTGGATTGCGACCCGCTGATCAGAAGAGCGGCCCAAATCCGAAAGAGGATTAGCGTTTGGCGACAGTAGTGTTTCAGCTAATTGAAATCCGGTGCTGTAGATGACCACATCCCATGCTAAGGAAGCGATATGCTTGTCATGACTATCCCTCTTCCTCTGTATATTATTCGCGGTTGGCCCAGTTGATATATCATTCTCCTACTTTTGCTACTTGTTGCAAGAGGTGCTCGGCGAAGATTCTCTTTGCTCCCTGCAACGTCCAGATACCGAGGGAGCCGAATCTGGCACCCACAGAATATCACTGCTAGCCGTCGAATTTGGAGCCGTCAGACGGGGGCATATAACCAAACAGAGATACGCTGGGCCCTTGGGATGGTGATGTTTCGATAGATACTACGGCTCCTTGGACTTCATCTTGGGTCTAAAGCACCTTCGGCAAATTATGCGTTGCCAACAATAATTCCAGTTGCCGTCTCTAGAATCCCGAAATGGCCCCTTACCAGGACGCGGTGGGTGCAACCGGGTACTGTTAATGTGTCCTGTTTGATCGCCGCAAAACCTGGCCCACATTCGATCTTAAAGCTAGATCCGTTGCCGGACTCTCAGAGATCTTTTGACTTTCATTAATCATGTCACGCACCTCTCGCAACGGAAAGTGTTAGTCAGGTGCTGGTGGCGAGGTGAGCTTAGGGATTACTGGTGATCGGTGACGAGGTTGGTTCAAGATGGGGTGACCGATCGTGCCCCATCAAAAAGATTCATGGATTTTAAATCATGACAACGCCTAGGACGGTATATTACCACTAAGTAGAAGCTCTCAGATTGCCTAAGGTGAATCGTCGACATGGTTCAGAATGCCATTCATACCATAAAAGAGCGCCTCGCTCTTCAAGACTGAAACATCTTCTGCCTGCTCTGAAGATGACAGCGGCAAAAGGGAAACTTGCCATCTCATATCAATATGAAGTATTCAGATCACTGGTGCCTGAGAGAGAGCTTGCATTTAAATCATAATGATTCAAATGATACGAGGTAGCCGTCTATCCCCAATTGCGGGCCTAGAGTCGTCTCTCACTCTCTATCAGCTGTCCACATGACTCCTACCTGTACTCCACCTATTCTGGCAGGAACCAGCCTCTGGGACAACGGGATCCACTCAAGTATCACATATTTTCAGCGATATCTGAAGGGTAAAGGAGCCCCGAAAGATGTGAAAGAATAACTTCTATGCAATGGAGGACAGTGGTAGGACAATGGTATTTTTTGCCGCTTCATAAAGTACAAATTGGGCTTTCACGAGGCCAAATTCTTCTTGCATATTTCCGGCCAGGCCCAATCAGACACTGTTTTGTTCATAATGGCCACAAGCAAGTCGTAACAAAACCGTGGGACTCTGTCCAACAGACTGTCTTGAAAAATCAACCCAGCAGTCTTCTCATCATCAGTTCTCAGCGTCGTAAGATTATCCATTGTGATTTTCACTGCGATATCTCGTAAGGCTCGATCGTTTGTCGGGGTTGAATTGTAGATCTCCCATGGCTTGTCCGAATGTGTTTAAGCCCAACGTCGTGTCAGCTGTTTCTCGGCTTTGTCTCTTATACTCTATGCTTAACTGGGGTGAGGTGCTCATCCCAATTCTTCGCCCGATTATTGGCCCGTCGTGCGTGCTCCCGCAGCACTGTGGGCGTGTCCGTGAGCAGTATGCCCTTTCAAAATTGGAAATTCTTAGGACGTTATGATCTTGACCTTAATTAATCATTATTCGGTGAGATAACTTTGCCCAACCCTAATTCGAATCTACCAGATTTCAAAACCCCCCCAATTGATAGAATGAAGATTAATCAAATTGCTCCCAGCGCTATAGTATATCACGATGTACACTCACGTAACTCAATCGACAGGCCTGAAACCCTGTTCACCCGGTCTTTAAATAGCAGACAGTCTTCGCAAATTTCACGTTTGGGAGAGCTTATCAGGATACATGCCCCTCGCAACTTACTTTCTGGCTCCTTTCTTGACATGCGATTGAGACGTCCCGGGCAATGATAACTTCATTTCCATTTTTGAGGCTTGAGAACGGGAGCTTGGGGCAGCTTATGGCGTGAAAATCGAACACTTTGAAGAAATGCTACTCTTTTGACTCTGCTAGATATTCATTTCCACTGTCAGAGTGGTATTCCTGCAAGTGATTCGGTTATGTCAAAATGTGTATAGGACCAATAGATGAGGCATGGATTATTCCAGAGTATAAACACCGAAGAGATATCAAGAAAGGGGTCAAGCATGACGACCTGCCACTACATTGCTCCTGCATGAAATAATAATGTGTTAGGACAAAGAAAAGAGGGAAAATAGCGAATACAAATAGGAAAAATGGCCTCCAAATCAAAAAGTCTCCTTTCTCTGCCACCATCCGTATTGCGTCTGGTTGACTTGGTTCCGTGGTTGCCTCTCTAAACATGCTTGTGAATGTGCCTGTTGATGTATGGACTTCCCCAACAGGTTTGAATCCAAACTTAGTGTACAAGCGTATACCCGCTGGAGAAAATATTAAAAAAGAATCTCGTCCATGTGAATCTGCCTCTTCACAGCCCCACTGTACTAGCATAGAGCCTATACCTTGGCGCTGATATTCCGGATCCACTGATATCATAGTGAGACCTGTAAGAGATGAATTAGAATAGACTCACATGGCTGTCCTCGCATCATCAAACTTACGCCAGATATTCTTGCGATTGCAGAGAACCCTTATCTTTTCCTTCCTTAGCAATCGCGAAACTCCCAACCAAGCTTACACGTCTAAGGTGTCTGGATGCCAATAATCGCGTTTGGGGTAATTATTTGGCTTCTTCCTCTCTTTTGAAGCAATTCGACTGTTGGAGGTACAATCCATTGGTGTAGTCTGTTCTAAGTTCCATCCAGCAAATCCAACAGGTGTGCCGTCCTCTAAGCAGATCTTGCGAAACCCTGCTGGTTGTGTTTTGAAAGTCTCTCGTAATGCCTCAACTGTCCACTTTATTTCTTCTTCTTCTGTTTCCTTACACGAGTTGGGAAACATTATGAGATGCAACGGGTTATCTTGCATCGCCGGAAAATCGCATTTTCGTACCAGGAGCTCAGCGTCATCAGCGTCAACAGTACAGAGTGTAAACCGCATGTTGGCGGCCCGAGATTAAAGGTGAAGGGGTTCTTTGACGGATAGCGAGCGTGGTGAGGATTGATAGGAGCAGCAGGAAGGGTTCAGCATTAGGCAGATCGCGCATTCGTCATTAATTTACGAGGAGTTCAAACGGCTTATGTCAGCAAAATGCGTTCCCGGAAGGTTTATTTTCCGATGAACGACTTACCATTAGCAATTTGACGACTCGACCGCGACACAACATCAATAATTGTTAACCCAAAATACACCTGCAGATAGTAGTACTAATTTTGGAACCTACATTACAGCTCCAAATATCTCAATGAGCCCGTTGTGCTGTAAAGGTGCGTCAAAGTTGACGATATCTTGCGGACTTGGACTCGCTGAACAAAGATGAAGTGGGGCGCTGGAGAAATTAGCCATTCATAATTTTCTGGACACGGGGTTTCTCCAATCACGAATTTTCTGGACATGAAGATACAGCCAATGGTAAGAACCTGTAACTCCAATGCCAGCCCCACCTTTATTGATAGATCTATTTCCCATTTAGTCCTTGTGAGCCCCTTGTAGACCAGGTCTCTGGTCGACTCCTTCATTACAGCAGGCAAGGATCCAGGTCGCGCGACCAATAATCAGATTCAACACTATCCATCAGGGATCGCAGCATGTGTACGGTCTGAATTCCAGCGCGTGCAGGCATAGTCTAAGCCCATTTTGCTCTTCCAGCGTTGCTTGACATCAGTCCACTCAAGCGTTGAAGCTTAGACGCCACCATAAATCAGCATGGTAGATGATACTAATCATCCCAAGAGACGAGGTCGACCCCGCAAGTATGCATCCACCGAGGAAAAGCGGCAGCAAGATGCGAGGCAACGGATTCAACGTCAGAAGGCGAGGGCCATCGAACAGGCTCGCAGCCGAGAGTCAGAACCGTCAGCGACTACGCCGTTCTCTGGCCCGGCAATGATTGCCGAGACTGAGCACTTCACACCCAGGGAACCCGACCTCGCTCGCCCGTCCTGCGAGAGGCAGGAACAGGTTGTGGCTTCTATTCTCCCACCGCCGCCAGAAAGCGCTGTGCTGGCTCCTGATGATGATCCCCTTCCCATTTTTGAGGATGACCCGTTGGGACTTTTCCTCCCCCTGATGAAATCCCAATGGTGGGAGGACTGACGGAAGAAGATGATGGCGCCGGGGTTCCGACTCCCGATCCTACCGAGGAGCACTGGGACCTAGGCAATATTGATACTGGGCGTGTATCCCAGACCAGGCGCTCGTCTACGCTCGGACCAGGCCGTGATGAGGGGATCACCACGTCAACCCAGATTCGTGAACTTGGTAAGCGGCTCGCTGATCAGCTGGTCAAACAACATGGCTGCTGCAGTGACTGCCACGAACAAGCTAAGAGAGATCATGAGGAACAGCATGTCGAGCACTGGGGTCTGCAGCACTATCTCCGCCAAGTGCAGGTTGGGAACCCATACCCAGACGTTTTGAGTCGAGACGAGTTGACCAAACGAGGAGACAACCTGGCTGGCCCAACAACCGCGGCCCGGAAGAGGCAGGTATACAATGGAATATCTCCCGCGCATGCATCGACGTCCAGTCCGCTTCATATCTGTCTTGCGTCCGAAGATGAGCCGACCGGGGTACCTTCCGTGACGTTTGACATCGATAGCGTTGTTGGCTTCCCCACCAGCCTGGCCGTTGCCCGACAAGGCATCCGGTGGCATCCAACCCAGATGGCCGTCTCCGATGTTCAATCCAGTCTCCATTTGAACTCGACTCCCGTCTCCTATTACGATGCCGACGGACGAGCTCATTACATACGGCGGCCGATTCACCAAGTGCCCCACTATACCTTTGGCCGGCTGGCCGGCTTTGAAGATGTGTCCCTATGTCTGTTACTCCCTCACCTGTATCGGAAAGAGCAGCAGTGTAGCCGCCTTCGCGATAACGATTTCCGGCTCTGGATGGACGAGATTCTGATCCCGGCCATCTCACGGCACTATCCAAACTCGGTCCTTCAGCACTATCGATCCAGCTACGACCACAGCCGCTCTAATGCCACTGCGCAGGGCGTGGAGTCCCGTTCCCAACGAGTGGACCCCGTCGCTCGAGAGCAGACACTGTGGTATCTCCTTCTTCCGGATGCCCTTCACGAAGTATGGAAGACGATCTTGGAAAGGATCAGCCGACCCGGTCTGCATGGGTTTCGCGATATTCGAATCCTTCTCCACGCGAAAAATCTCAAGATCATGACCAAGGACGATTCCTGGGAGCGCATGACGCAACGTTTTGAAAGAAACTGGACCCATGCGGTTGTGAGGTCCTATACATCTGGGGAATTCTATTTCGACATTGGGAAAGAGGTGTCCCTATCCCATGGGGGGTAAGTGGGATGTATACGTCCCAGTAGGCTAGGGTTTCGTTAACTATGGGAGCCCAGTTCCAGAGACCAGTAGGCTTTTTTTGATCGGATCCCTATACTCTGTTGTCAACTGTAGTGAACAATCCACTACAGTTATTCGCCCGATCATTGGCCCCCGTGCCTCCTCGTGGTCTACCCTATCAAAAATCGAAACTTATCTAGTACCTTAGAATCTCGACCTAATCGATTAAATTGGTTCAAGGTACGAAAATTGGATTCTTGATATCAGGCAAATCCAGAACTGACTATGTTTCAGTGTGCATGAGAATGAGAAAATTGGGCAACGGGCAGTCTGTCGTCTTTGGCGTTCCAGGGGAGGTCAAATCCAATATCCTGGCCTTGAGTGGCAAGGACAAGAATTCTGAAATCAATGTCTCCGGCGTGCTTCTCTGGGCCATTTCCGAGACTTGGATTGACAGCCGACAAAATATTTCCCTTCGGGCGGTCCAGGGTACTCGATTCGAGTGCCAACGGGAATTGTGGTAAGCTTACTGCGAAAATGATTGCCCCGATCTGACGCCGAGACAAGCCCATGAATTTCTCGAGCCCGAATGCAAAACTCTTGAACAGCGATACTGGCCTGGTCACCAAGCGCGGCCGTTATTTAATTGACCTTCGGATACTAGCCCGAATCTGAGGGTGATTTGGAAGCACTGCCGCAAGTTTGAAGGTCTCGACACTTTGTCCTCCCTTCAAGAGGAACAGGATCGCGAGCTCGCACCAGAGGTTGAAAGCGAGCGCCAGATTCAGAGGCCTTCAAGGGCTACACCCGAAACACACCATATCTATTCACATATATCTTCATTTGTCACCACAGGCATTCTTGTGAGGCCTTCCGAGGCCTATGAGCCAGCATACCTCTCGCTGTGCAATACCTCCGCCGCCTGCTTTCTGGACGTATCTCAATTCCCATCCAGTCTACTGGCTTCCAACGGCTTTGTTAGGACCATCAAGACTCCCCCGGGCTCACACTTTGTTGCTGATGCTTTCCAACGTCCTGTCAGATGGGTCCTGACAAGTCGAAACCGTGTTGTTGATGACGGAACACCCCAGTTGCGCATGATGATCATTAGCCCTTACGAGGCCAATGATTTCATGTTCAAGATACGAGAATCACGTGTCGTCACTCTTCATTTGTATGGCCCACGCCAAAGCCGAGGATTCCCCGCTTTGGATAGACTTACCTATACACGGTCCCAGACGATGTTGCCGAAAACGAAATACCTGATATACTCCGTATGCTGCTCAACCTGTTTTCTAAGCAGCTGTATCTTGAATCATATTCTGAGTACAAGGACCTTTGTGAATTTTTGAGAGTGGCATCTGTGAAAACGCCGCCCGGTCTTGTTGTTGCCGCGGATGGATTCATCAAACGACGTTTCCCGGAAGCGAGGAAAGGCTTCAGTCAGAGCGCGCTCAAATCCCTTGAGATTCTCATGTGACAGATTAGAAAAGATTGCCAGCGGATTGGACGGACGCATATTGGGAAAATCGTCAGTGGTCAGTTGCTTTTTCCGCTCGACTTCGAAGAATCAGCAACAGCATCCATATAAGCCGGTCTTCAAATGACTATTCTCGGTCCTCAAGCAGGTTCTCCCTACCACCAAGGCCGTGGGTCCTGGATCCCTTTTCAAATCAAAAAACTTTCGCTCCATCCATTGGATCGAAGAGAACGCATGGAGTGACAGAACCATTCAATATGTTGAAAAGGACACAATAGGACCTCCATTCTAGAACACTATAACTGAACCGTTCAAATAATTGCGCCACTTTGCTTGAGTGGTCAAGCCTCAATCAATGCCAATTGTTGCTTCTAACTGGGGGACTGTTCATAAATGGCAACAGGCCTTTCTGGGTATAGCTTGATGGAACTGGTTAAACAGCAATTCACGGCGCAGGACAATACAAGAGCTTCAAGCAAAACCAAATGATAAAACACCAAGCCCATAGAAAATTGCATATACACAGTCGATATCTGTCTATAACATATGAAAAGCCCAGTTTAAGACCAAGAGCGAAAGTTGCCGTCCTCATTCAAGTGACCTTGAAGATAAAGCGAGATTCTACAAGTAAGAGCTGTTTCAATGGCAACTTTCACATCATTGCCATATTTTGCCCGAGGGTCTTTGAAGAGACGCTTGACGACCTGTTCATATCCTTTACGAGCTGCTTTGCATAATGCGGTCTCACCAAGCTCATCACTAGCAGTGACATCCAGACCTTCTTCTTTGAGTAAGAGATCTATAATAGCCAAGTGGCCATGCCCAGCCGCCAAGGAGAGTGCAGTGTCTCCCATGTGAGTTTTGAAATTAACGTCGGGTGGCGTTGTGTGTTGAAGAAGTAGTCTCGTAATTTCAAGGTGCCCCATCTCGGATGCAACACAGAGAGCCGTAGAGTTCCAAAACGGCTGGTTGATATTGATGGTATCAAGGCGGAGCAATCGACGTACAACGTCTAGATGACCCTCTCTCGCAGCATGGAATAGAGGAGGGGCCTGTTGCACGTTCACTTGTATATCCTCTCTTGTAAGCAATAGTTCCACCATGCGTAAGTCACCCTCAGAAGCAGCATGGGTGAGGGGAATCCATTCCTCATCGTCACGAATGTTCGGATCTAGATCATGATTGTCGAGGAGGACAGCTGTGATTGGTACATTTCTTATTCTCGCCGCGGAATGAAGAGCTGTCCTGCCATTTTGGCCTTTCACGTTGATATCGACATGGTCTTCTGCGAGAATTTGTAAGGCGATGGCTGTATGCCCTGCCTGAACAGCTAAACAGAGCGCTGTTGCTCCATTATCGTCCAAGGCATTGATATCCACTGCATTACAGGTCAATAGAAGATTTGCTATTGACTTTCGGCCATGTTCTGCTGCAATGTGGAAGGCGGTGCGACCGAACCTGTCTCTCGCGTCGACGGATGTCTGTTCATAGGTAAGCAACTGTTGAAGTACCTTTTTGTCACCACTTTCTGCGGCTTGGTGCAAGAGGCTCTGGCCATTCCTATCTCTTTTATTCGGATTCGCACCATGGGTAACGAGTAGCGCGATGATATCATGGAGTCCCGCCTTTACAGCCCGGCGGAGCAGATGGTCTCTGACGTTGTCATTTCCAGTAAGCACTTTCCTGTGTCAGACTCTGGATGGTGGAGCAACATTCGGGTGATCTTCGTGCTTTTTCTGGCAATGGCCAGGCCAATAGGTGAGATATTCTTGTAGTCCGACGTTCGTATAACACTGCCCCCTTTCAGAAGGGCTTGTACCAGGCTTTCATGGCAATGTGCAACGGCATACCAGATAGCAGATCGCTTCTTGTCATCCCTTGTATTCACACATGGCTTGAGATTCAATAGAAGTGAGTCTGCAGACAAAAGGTTCCTGGCCATGGCGTATACAAGTGGAGTCTGCTTGTGTTTATCTTGCCAATTGATATCCGTTCTCGGATCGGAAAGGAGCATGCCAATGATCGTCTCATTGCTAGCGCGAAGGGCATGAAAAATGGGTGTGCGAGATTCATCATCTGTAGTGTTGACGTCTGCTTGGTAATCACGCAGCATGTTTCCCACAAATTCTGAATTTCCCTTGAGGACGGCCCAGAGCAATGCTGAGCTGCGTTGTCGTCGTACATTGAATTGATACAGATAGGGAAGGAAAGAAGCCTTTGTTGCTTGATTGAGGCACACCAGGGTAAAACTTTGTCCAGATTGTCTGCTATCCAAAGAAGAAGTTCAAGAGGAAGATCCAGGAGAGACATCTTTCCGTTGATTAGCCGATGCCCGAGGTCATGTGGTACACAGCGACACTGGGAATACTTACGTTGACTTATGTCGACGATTTAGAGAGGGAAGAAGGTAATGTGCTGGTTGGTATGTATCACCCGACAAATATGGTGATATTATGTCTACATTTCAAATTCGGGATCGCCTTGGTTCTTTATAGGCCAGATAATGTGCATCCCACGGAAGTCGGCACGGCCGTTCAGGTCAAAACTCTACTGTCAATCGAAGTCAGCCTTGGTTGCAGTTCTTTGGGCCCTTATTCGTCTCTTGCGCTTCCAGGCCCGCGCCTGCGGGGCTGTGGCCCGTAGACTGCTCGCCCATCACTCTTGTGGTCCATCGACCGTCCCTGGAATGTGCTGGTCGGTCCATCAAACGAATCAAAAGCTGGCAAATCTACTCTCGGACATTATTTTCGGATATTACGATGAAAACATACAACGCCACCGTGGGTTGGTGCGCGATTTACTCCATTCTTAGATGGCCAAATCTTCCTCTCTACTAGGGATTATATGAGACCCACAACCACTGCCCACCTGTTTCTAATATTTGGACGATGCCGGCAGACCTTCCTTTTCTGCACAGTGCGTGAAGGTTCGCTGGGTGATCATGATTGGAGAATAGCCATGTATGCGGCGAGACGAAAGTGGCGTGCTGACTTATAGGTAGGCAAATTCATATGACCAAATGAACATCTTTTTAGCCAGTTTATTTTGAGGTGGACCTAACCAGTGAAAGATGCTGTCTACACCTACGTTATGAATTCTGAGCCCCTGATAGAGGAAACCGCGGCAGGGAGTGCAACGATTTCGCAAGATTTTTGGGGAAGAGCACACGGGATTCCCTCCTGTTGATACGGGGTCTCCTCGCTGGGGGCTTGAAGACTTTTGCTCGGGTTAAAAGTAATGGCGCGTTAACTATAGGCCTAATAGAAGCCGAAACCCACCGACAAGGCTTTGTGTACTATACTGAGCTAAGAATAGCCCTTCCGTTTGTTCCGGATTTAGCTATCCCGAGGTCGTGATTATATTAATACGTTTGAATAACCACTATGCCGGACTTGGCGACGACGATTTATTTCTCGCCTTCAATTATCTGGTAGGTTAGGTTAGGCCAAGCGCTACTGTACTAGATCTATAAGTTCCACTCACCCTGATACGTAAGCCCTTTAAGAGTCTAGATAGCAGCCATAAGGCAGCCTCGTCAGTAGGGATGAAACCCGGTGTCCTCAATTACAAAGGCTATATATATTACGGTCATTCTTAGGTCTAGTTTGTTGACTCACGAGCGAGCTAACACAGTCCTTGTTTCGAATTTTAATTAATTTTAGTATATCCTTCTACCTTAAATCCCAGTTGCTGACGATTAATGACCAGTGAGTGAGAGATTTGTGAGCAAAGGAACAACGCGACAAATCATCCGCCACCTGAAAGACGTAAATTATTATATCTATGATGTTTCTGGTTATTATTTCTTAACCAGTATATTATATATTAGCGATTTCATCGATTACATTATTATCCCGTCGTCGCTTGGCTTATAGCTATAGAGTGAGGAGGATTGTGTCTATTCCTGCCTCGTCTCGGCGTCACAAGACGGGAAGCAATATCATAGAAGCAGAATCCCGTAGGCTCCAAACACAATCGTTATAAGTATTCACTGAGCCCTCCTCTTCTCGAATGATTGTCCTTAGTCAATACTTCAATTATAAAGATAACTGATGTTCCTCGAGCTAGGTGTCACTAGATCCAGAATAGTAAGTTCAAAGCTCGCTTTAGCCTTTGATGTGCAGCTAAGTACCGAGGCTTCCGCCGCGACTTATCTTGCCGAAGCTTAGTGCCCTATTGCACCTCCATCCCGTCCTCGTAGCGCGGAATCAGGATATATGCGGAATTGTCTATAAGGTCCTTTTTGAAGCAGGCGAAAGACTAGCCAGAAGGCGTAGGTGGAAGCGTGTTAGGTGGAGAGAGATAATCATAATTTGTACCCTGTTGCCGATTTGAAAAGCGCTAAAATCAACTTACGTGAGTCTGACGAGAATTTCGTTCCACAGTCTATAAAAGGTTCCAGTAATTCATAAAGGAGTGAGAATTTATATTATTACCATTTATTTTTGCGCCAACGATACAATGAGGTATAGGGAGTGTGGAGGAGATGCTTTTCTGCTATCGGAACCGTTGGTCCATCACCCCGTCTACCTGCTTGCACACCCACCCAAACTTCCCCAGAATAAGGAGGCGCTGGATCCTCTTAGGAGAAGCAGCGTTAGTCTCAATATCATCATACCCCATATCGGGCACATCTTACATTCTTCACTTGTATTCTCATCGTTCCAGGACTCCCCCAGTGGACTGACTATCTTTACAACTATTCAGAGACACCTAAATCTCAATTTTCTACTATATTGTTGCCTCCAAAATATGACATCCATTCGGGGAAAAATACTTGTTACTGATAGATGTTACTAATAGATCACGGATCACTGTATAGATTGGAAGGGCGCGGAGGCAAAGCATAAAGTTGGTGCGTTCTTACTGACCTTTTAAATCTATGTCCAGGATTATTTTTGAATTTATTCTCATTTTTCTATTTTGATTTCCTTTATTACATATTGTAGTGGGAGAATTGGTGACATAATGAGCCTATGTGTGGCCTCAGGCATGATTTAATGTCTGCAGTGCATAGTACATCTCCAGACACACTTAGAGGGAGACAAGTCATCTACCCAATTCATTCAGGATTCACCCAATTTCTTCTATCCATGATGCAGCATTAAGATTATCCCGCACGGCCGCAACAGGGCATCAGTACGGCCTCATCCAGCATCCTCTACACCAGACAGGCAGTGTGTGTGTGTGTGTGTTGTCCAGTCTGCATCGCCAGATAGCCATCGAGCCGTTCCCATTTCAATATTTCTTTTTTACTTTTTTTTTTTACGTTTTTTCTTTATTTACATTTTTTTTATTATTTCTATTCATTTTTATCATTATTTTTATTTTAGATTTTAACTTTCTATCTCTAATCTTTATTACAGTATATTATTACGTATCACGATGCGCAGACCGCCATTATATCACGTAAAGGCTGGGGCGCACTCGTAATCTTTATATATGATGTCGATATTTGAAGAAGTAGTGCGAATGTTCACGCTTTACTTCAGTCATCAATCATTCAATGATGTTCGAAGGCCGCCCCGGCCCACGATCATTTGATATTAGCACCGTAATAATGACTTATAATCTACTTTCCTTATGATAGTCACGTGATATATACGGGTCCTAATCCACAAGAGTCCGCGAGTCTGTAATGGCTAGTATGGCTATTTTTTTGCAATAATTAGGAATGCCAGAGAGCCCAGAAGCAAAGATTTAACCTCTCTGGAGATCTTACTTGTCGGTTCTGGATTAGATAGCCTTTCCCAAGAGTAACGTAATTACGTTATATAGCCACGGTGACCACCTAGGAATCATGCTTATAGGTGAAAGTGCAACTGGTCAGCAGTTTTGGCCCTTAAAATCTCAATCAAAAATGTGTCGCAAACACATAGGCGTAAGAGATAAATATTTATACGAAGCTAGGGGCGCTCCCGGAAGGTTTCATGCAGTGAGATCTTTCACGAGATCCCACCCGCTTCAAATCCAAACAATTCTAAATCTAGTATACACGACGACCTAAATTGGACCTCTCCATATATTAGGACAGTATTATATAGCGTTCGTCCTTTAAGTGAAACAAATACCACAGGCACGGTCACGGGTAACGAATCCTACTGCTAACTTGCGTTATGGAGCCGTGGTTCTTCTATCACACGTCTATATAACCATCTATCCAAGCAGTAATATACTATTATTCTGTATTTCGAAAAGCTCCGTTATGGATTAGGTTAGCTCTTTTGGCTGGCGTTCACTACGCTCTGCCTTAGGTGATACATAAGGCAACTTTCATCTTATTCGCTTACGAGATAGTTCCATTATTACTAGGAAATCTATAGCCGATACTTACCCAACTAATAAAAGCGTAGCATTAGCGTCTTCACTTATCATCTACAATAAGCACGGCATTCTGTCACAACCGCTCTCTGCCACTCACAAGCAGATTGACGGATTTAAATTCTCAGATATTAAGCTATTTTAATAATGTGACTACGTATTAAATACCTTTAGGTATGTAGACAACCGTGCATAGAGTCTCAAAATAACCAACTATAATTAATGACAATTAATACAGCGTTCGTTCCCACTCGCCTCTTTAATTAATTATAAAAATTAAATCTTATATAATAGTTGCGTTACGGATACTCCCAATTATTATTGCTATGTTTCTTATGGGCCGTTAATTACAGACAACTAGCAGTCTAATACGGGTCTGATAAGGGGGATATAGATCCGAAGAAATAGGTAGCTTGGCCACTTCTATGATCGGCCGTGAGGCGGACCCGTATTGCTCCTGTAACTAAGTCTATCCGATCCAGTGACTATGGCGGCAGAATATCCAAAGAGCATTATTTCCACACTTATATGCCTTTTACCGCTTATAGTTGCACCAATAATATATGCTGAGTGTTAACTCCCCTTTACGTAGAAATTCGTATTTATAGAGCTTTGATTAGTTATTTTTGATATAAGTTTCCTTTGCTAGGGTAAAGGCGAAATAAGATTGCCCGACTTAAGTGATAACTTGTGATAAATTAGATATGCAAACTTTATAAAAGAAAAAAAAAACATTTTCCCGGTATCCGGGAGGTTTCTAGGCCGAGGCCGACATAACCCTGCCTCAATAAT